ATTAGCTGTAAAGCTTTCCGAGTATCACGTAACTTCCTGTGTGAAATTTGCCGTGGAGATTCTCACAGATCCGGACCACCCATTGCTTGCAGAACTGACACTTTGTCGTTTCCATCATTCAACACGCCCCAAATTCCTTCAGATTTCATCTCGAATTAACGCTTACCGCAACTCACCCATACCATATCTTGCTCGTCTACTCATAAACAAAGAGCGGACAATAAGTGAACTTTGTGTTAACCTTGGATTATGAAATGTCCCCATGTCTGTAAAGCTTTTCTCCCCGCTGATTACGTACATTGTGACGGGTAGTGTGTATGCTTTTTAACTGAAATGTAAGCTCCAGTGCTTGCAAAATTCATGCACAATACAATAAAATACAAATAAGGTCTTCAAAATGTCTCCTGGTTTGGCACGGCTCATCCTCGTCTACCATGAAACATTAGAACAAATACCCTACTTCAAGAAAATTGGATCTATCATCCAGTCAAACAGTCAGCTATATTAACACCCAGAGATCAGCATTGACTCCAGTGCGTGATTTTGACTACCATAAACTTTTATACAACACTCAATGTTTCCTTTCCTGGTTAAGCTCTTGCGATCCCGCGCAAACACTAGTTTTCGAACACATGGTAACCACCCTGGCTCTGAACCATTTAGACGAGTTAGCCGATCAGCTGTGGCATGCAAATGGTCCTTGTAGGGGCAACTAAATTTTTCGGGAGTATCAACTGTCCAATTGACTGAGGTCCACCCAAACTTTCTTCGGGATTGTCCGCAAGGGGAAATTTAGATGCCCAAGTAAAAACCCGATTTACTTTTTCTATTACCTCTTCTTCAGGGATAAAATTATAAGCTGTGTCAGCCAAATTCATCCTACACTTTGAAAGTTTGGGGCTGACGCCTAACACAGTTCAACTATCACTTGAAAAACTCGAAAAGCTTGCAATCAGCTTGGATCTTCGCTGAGCAGCGCGATGCCATCTGGATGTGCCCAATCATACAACTCGTCATCTGGAAAAATATTGATGTCGAAATCTGTGAAAAAGGACAGGATGATCGTCAAAATCACATTGACAACAATCCTCAAGAAATAATAAAAAGATGGAGAAAGCAAGAAAAAGTTCTTCTATAGACCTTTGAAGAAGAGGCAGCGCAACAGTTTATGTTATATATTATATTTCACACGTCGATGAAACCAGACAGTGCCAACAGTTCATCGCAAGGTTCATTCGTCAAAGTCGACGGCCGATTTTAAGTCAGAGTAGAAATAGAGGCCCTATGATACAACTGTACGTTCAGTTAAGGCTGAAGTGAGCTTGATTTTCACGTTTCCTGCACGGCAGGCATTCAACAGTCACGACAGCTCAGGCGCATACCCGATAATAAATAAAAGGCAATACAAATTTTAAATTTCAAATAATAAAGATCATAGATAGCGTATATAACAAACTCGAAAATGACCGATTTAATCTCTTCTTTCTTATGTAAGCATAAACATGTTAAGGCTTTCATACGGGTGTATATCTAGTTATAGCAGAATCGTGGTTTAGATATTAATCCACACTCATGTGTTAGTGTTATGAAAAGCCAAATATTACCTTAATTTGTCGGAAAGTAGAGCAGGAAGTATAGTAAAAGGGCCTTGTAGACCGTGGTTTAATTAACAATGGATAACTTGTGATAACTTGTCGCGAATGAAAGAACATTGAAATCAATATCTGAGGTTTTTTATATTGTACAAATGCAGTCTTTCCATGATTAGATCATACAATATTTCCTTGATGAATCACATTTTGGTTGATGAAGATTAGGGTTGTATTTAAGTGATGAGTAAATTTCAAGATTTTATTATGGTAATGGTGAACCGAGAGAACAGGGATAGTAAACTGCATGTGGTGGACCTACTAGACAGTGTCACAGTCATATGATAGGGTTTGGTATTCAAGCAGGAATTCCTTGGGTAAGTTTGTTGCCAAATTGCCTCTGAATGGTAGTGTGAACGGACGTGTTCAGAAGATTCAACTAAGAAATTCAGTTCTGAAAATCTTGATGTTTGTCTTATATATTATGTGAATAGTATAAGACAACAATTGGTAAGCAGTTTTTCAGCGCTCTGTGACATTCTTTCCATGGAATTATTTTCCACTCTGATAGAACTCAATTTGGCCGTTGACGTTTGGCTTGGCGTGTTGTGCCATGGAAATGATGCAAATGGCCGGTCCACGTTATGATATGGATCGTTTTGGTGTTGTATTTCGTGCCAGCCCACGTCAAGCGGACCTTATGATTGTTGCCGGCACTGTAACCAACAAAATGGCTCCAGCATTTCGTCGTATTTGGGACCAGATGACCTCCCCCAAGTGGGCCATATCGATGGGCTCGTGTGCCAACAGTGGAGGATATTATCATTATTCTTACAGTGTTGTACGTGGAGCAGATAGAATCATCCCAATCGATCTCTATGTTCCAGGTAAGCTCGGGAGTTTGCTCCTCTTGTTTTCCGGGGTATCGATCGAGAAGCCACCAGCCGGGACAGAAAACTGCTAACAGTCAAATTTATTTGGAAAGTAACTTTTACCAGAAAGCATTATTTCTCAGCCGTTGAGTTAATCGTAGTTCATAGCATGTGGCTAATTAATCAACGAGCAGCGTTTTGGGCTGACCATCTCCTGTTTCAATTGATGAAATCGAATAACACCAGGAAAAATAAAATTTGATCTGCTCAGTTTGTACAACCGATTGCTCCCATGGTACAACACGTGTTGTGCTCCGAGATCACATGGTGATTTTGTTGTTAACCAGTCGAAGAGGCGAGAGTAATCGACTACTGAGAGGAAACATACATATATATTTATCACCGGCTTGTAGACAAGCATGATGCCAACGCTACAACAGTAAAAAAAACAATAAAAGGGGATAGGTGGATTGGGGTACAGAACAGACTAGAAAGAGGTTGAAACTGTTAAACACGGGAAAATGGAATAACAAAACTTTTGTGTGTTTCACCGTACACTTTTGGATATTTTTTGTTGTTGTTTTTACGGAGCACAGGATTTCGACAGGCAGACCGTACAGCATTGTCGTCACTGAGCTCTATTCTGGGCCATATCTCTCAGCGTTTCTAACCAACGGCAATCCTCACCTCTTGGGCCCCAATCTAGAAGGCGGGCTGCACCAACCGAAGCCAATGCTGAAATCAGCATCTTCATGCCTCTGAATCATGTCACGGTCTGATCGCCGATCAGCTTCTTCCAGCCTTGCCCGGCACATGCGAAGAGATTACGGATAGGTAGTCGATGGGCAGGCATACGAAATACGTGACCAAGCCATCGGAGGCGGTGTGGAGCGATTACTTTCGTTAGCGAACGACTATCCGCACCCAACACACGACAAACGTCTTCATTGCTCAGCCGGTGTTCCCATTAGACTCGAGCAATGCTTTGGAGACATCGGTGGTCGAATACAGAAAGTCGATTAACATCCTCAACGCGGAGGGGCCAGGTTTCGCAACAGTAAAGCAGAACGCTACGAACCGCGGCGATGTACATCCTTCCCTTAAGGGACAATCGGATGTCATGGCGGCACCACAGGTGTCGCAGGTTGGCGAACGTTGCTCTAGTTTTTGCTATTTGTGATGTGACCTAGTCCCCACTACCACCACCAACTACGATCAAGCTCCCGAGATACTTAAAACTGTCAACTACTTCTAGCTGATCACCACAGAGGGTGAGTTCAGTCATAGGCTCCTGCCAGTCTTGAACAAGCGCTTTGCACTTGGATGGTGCAAAGCACATACCATACTTGGATACCTCTATCGCCAAGCGGTTCAAGGCATCTTGGACTGCCTGTGTGTTGTCACCCAGCAAGATGATGTCATCGGCATATTCTAAGTCAAGAACTCTGTTCCCTGGGAGGAGTTCGCATCCATCGTTTGCTAGACCGGAAGAAGCATTCTATAGAACATTCTCTATGACAAAGTTGAAAAGAAATGGGGATATGGGGCAGCCTTGCCGAACTCCACTGGAGACGGCGAAGGGTGGCAAAAGTTGACCATAGACCCTAACCCGACCTAAGGTATGACGATACAACTCTTTGAGGATCGACGCATACTTCTCAGGTACTCCATTCCTCAACAAACAGTTCCATAATGCAGTCCCTTCGACAGAGTCGAAGGCCACACGGAGGTCTAAGAATACAATGATCGTTGGCATGGCGGTGCTGTAGCAGCTGCCAGAGGGTGAAGATTTGATCGATGCATCCACGACCGGCACGAAACCCAGCCTGCTCCTCGCGGGTCTGCTCTTCACGCGTAGTGTACAATCGGCGGAGAATGACGGACGCCAACAGCTTTGACGCTATTGGGATTAGAATAATACCCCAATGATTGGCGCAGTTGTTGAGTAGGCCCTTTCTGAAGATGGGGATGACAATCGTTTCCCTTCCCCGCACGAAGAATGGACCTGATCAGTGTTCCACATTTTGAGAACAAAACTTGTAGTTCTATTGCAAGCATTATTCCACCATCTTTAAAAAAAGCAAGAGGAAGGCCGTCGGAGCCCGGCGCTTTGTGACGTCCCAAGGCTTGAATCTCTTTACGGATTTCTGCCTCAGAAGGTGAGTCTGTTGAGACAGACCATGGGACGTGTGCCGGAATAGCTGTGTGAGAAGCTGACGCTGGTGGCCAGCTTAATTGTGCTTTCAAGTGCTCCGCCCAGCGTGCAAGGCATCGTGAATGGGCGAACTATCAGCCGCGCAGATTGTTTCGCTCACAACCAAGGCTTTCCTACCGGTGACCCGGATGAGATGGAACAACTTGCGGGAATTGCCCATGGCGGCAGCACGTTCCATCTCTGATGCTTATTGAGAGCACCAGATCCCGCGGTCTCTGCGTAGGCTTGCATTAAGTTCACGTCTCGTTACGAGTCGTGTTTCATTATGCTCGCTGCCGATCGGAATTTACCGACGTTTGTCGAGAAGGCTTGGGGACTCCGCAGAGATACCGGGTGTCACGGCGCTACGTGTCAGACCACAGCTAACTAAGCCAACAGAATGCAGAGCATTCTTGATGAGAGACCAGTGCTGGTTAACATTATCGGGTGGGGTTGGTTCTAACTTTTCAGTTAGCGTGTTTTGGAAGCCAGTTAGACAAGCTGGTTTGGACAGCTTATTACAGTCTAACCGTCGTTGTGTTGTGCGTTTGGAACGCTCACCGAAGCCCATGAATAGCTTGGCGCATACTAATGCGTAGTCGGATTCGAGGGGAGTCCTCCAGTATGGTCGACAGTCTTGAATGCAACCCCGCCATTTGTGGCTTATCGCGACGTGGTTGATCTGTGTCCGTCGCCGACTTGAGGAGGGCGGACGCCAGGTGGCGTGCCAGCAGTTGAAGTATCTGAAGTTTGTACTGGCGAGGAACAGGCGGTGTTCGGAACATAGAGCCAACGGCTGTTCCCCGTTTTCCGAGTGACAGGAATCTAGTCCAAAAGGAACTCCCAAGTGCGCCTCACTCGAAGTAAACGGGCCTACTGTAGCATTCATATCATCTGCTAAAATCACGATATCATCCCGGGTCGCTTTACGCAAGAGGTCGTGTAGGTTGTGTTGTAAAATTCATCTTTGACTGCATCTAGGCCGCAGTCCGTTGGAGCGTACGCCGAAACGACAAACACGTTTCGTTTATCGTAGAGACGGCTGCTTATCTTGCGCAAATCTCTGAGTCTCACTGCGCACAACCTACTATCAACTGAGATTCAGCCCAGAAGGGTGGCTTCGGCTCTCTCACTGAGGGCCACGCCGACGCCAGCGAGACCGGAAGCCGCAGCCTCAGGGTTCGCAGAGAAGCATAGGTGAAACTTCACAGTTTGGTTAGATTGGGACGTCAATCGGATAATGGAGCTGGAGTCTTGAATGCGAGTTTCTTGGATGCAACACACATCGATGGCTAGCGTTTCGAGCGTACGAGCTAACAACGCCTGTTGTCCTTTACGCATCAGAGTACGCACATTAAACGTGGCTAGTTTGAATAGACCTCGAGGACGAAGAAGGGCTTCAGCTGGTGGAGGATTCGGTGAGACTTGGATGCTAGTCGAGGTAGGACAAGAGCCAATAGCGGCAGAACTTCCGCCCGAGGCACTACTGTTAGTACGATCGTCTGAAGTA